CGTCTTTTGTCTATTTCATGGTTTTTTTTTATATCTAAGCCTATTTTAGTGATCAAGCCAGCGTCATTTCACACTACACCGCACATAACATCGTTGAATAACACTGGTTTACAAATTAAAATTAAAAAAATGTACCTTCGCTGCCACTATTTTTTTCTAATGTATTGTGACCTGTTAAACTTAAAAATCACAAAAAAAAAATTTTTATGGCAAGGTTTTTGAGATAAAATTTTTTCTTTAATATTTTGGTTCTTTAAGAAAGCAGCTTTACAATTTGGGTCATATCTCGGGTTAGAAATGGCCAATCTGGTTGAAAAAAGTATAAAATTAAACATATTTGAGTCGCCAACAAATACCACCTTATTAGTACCCAATCAGTTAATAAGCTTAAGTTCAATGGGCTCAAATATTGGAAAAAGTCGTTTTTTTTGGAGAAAAATGAGAATGTAACATTATTTTCTTTGCCAAGGATGAATACAAATCAACAAAATATGTCAATTTTTAAATTATCTACGTGGATTTCAAACTGTTATAAAGAAAACAAGATATTTTTAAAACAAATCTATTGATAATTATTATAATTAAAGGGGTTAATGCAAAAAGTGGACAGGTAAAATTTTTTTTCGAAATTAAGTTTTTTACAAAAAAAAGGTTCTATTTGCCTAACAGAACCTTTTTACTGTTAAATAAATTTTATATTTTAATATTAAAATACAGTGTGTTCCTTTTAAAACTAACCCCCCTAAATTCTCGGAAACTAGAAGTATTTTAAAAAACGCAGAGACAGGTAAAGTTTTATATCGAGGGGGAAAACTTTTTAAGGCAAAATTTGGTTTCCCACCTTTACCTTCTGCGCCCCGGAGTTACCCCCTTAAGAATTTAAATAGAGAAGGGGTACAGAGTACTACATTATTTTAAAGGTCTTGAAAATCCCTATTAAACAGCATTTTATTTTTTTTAAATTGGTCAGTTCATTTTTTAGATATGTACAAATTATTAAGGGGAAAGCTCCTGGGCATAGAGGATAAGGGTGGGAAACCAAATTTTGGCATTAATAGCATTAATGGCAAAATTTGTTGTCTCTCTCGATATAAAACTTTATGTGTCTCGTAAGTTTTCAAAATTCTTTTAGTTTCCGAAAAATTCAGGATGTTTCATTTTAAATGAAACACTCTATATATCATTATAATATAATTTAATATACAATACTATTGTAAATTAAAAATAATTTAGGTTTTTAGATTGCCTTCTGTTTTCGTTATCTGATTCCCTTACAAGGAACCAAATATAATCCCCCATCATTCTTTCATTCCAAAAGCCCTGATAGCGCCGCTCCATGGATTTTATTTCTTGATGAAACCTTTCACGTATCTGTACATAAACTGTCATAACTTTGACATTTATCCATAGAATTACTACTTGTAGATATTTAAAAAATGGGCATATTTTAATGATTTTTGCTTCTTTTTGGTAAAATAGTAAATACTTAATTCTAATTTTGTCCAAAAAATTGACTTTTTCTCGATATTTGGCCCCATTGCACCTAAACTTATTGACTAATTGGGCATTTATATAATTACATTTGTTATTATGTTAATTAGGTTTAATTTGACATCTGTTGTAATCAAATTGGCCATTTCAAACTCGAGATATATCCCAAATAAAGGGTGTATCAATAAGAGCGCAAAATTTGAATTTCGCCTCAGTTTGGCAACCATGATGTCACATGATTAATGACATGACAGATTGATAGGAGACAGATGGAAGTTAGTAAATATAGAGCATTACACGATAGAACAACCCGTTCTGATTGTTAAACACTATTATCAAAATGATGAAAGTTTGATTGCCACGATTCGTAAATAATGTTCCTAATTCATCTACTGTGAAAAGAATAATCGAAAAATTTGAAAGCACTGCTTCGGTTAGTGATGTGAAATACACGACACGAGCTCGTTCAGAACAAAATGTCGCAGCAGTTCGCAAGAGTGTGGCCGAGAGTCCAGAGACGTCGATTTGCCATCGTGCACAAGAATTGGACATTACAAAAGCCACTCTTCGGCGAATTCTTACTTAAGATTTGCATCTTCATGCCTACAAAGTCCAATTGACTCAACAACTCCAGCCAAAAGACCATGAACAACGAAGAGAGTTCACCAATTGGATCATTGAGCAGCAAGAAGTGAATGCCGATTTTGCGGACAAAATCATTTTCAGTGATGAGGTCCATTTTCACCACTATTTAACACCCTTGGACTTTTGGCTGTGGGGTTATTTGAAGTCACAAGTTTATGCCAACAAGCCCGCCACCATCAAAGTCTTAAAAGCAGAAATTAGACGCTCTATCAACGAAATACCGCCACATGTATTCAATAATGTTATTGCAAATTTTGCCAAAAGAATACGCTTGTGCCAGTTAAGCCGTGGTGGCCATTTACCAGATGTGTTATTTTATACATAATTTCCAAATGTGTACTTTATAAATCAATAAATATTTCAATGCTTTAATACTTAAAACCATGTTTTACTAAACTTTGAAATCTTGCGCTCTTATTGATACACCCTTTAGTAAAGCCGGCATCGAAAAATCAAAGACAATTTTTTATTTGGAAAATCTTGCCATAAAAAAAATTTTTATTGTCATTTTCGAGTTTAGCAGGCCAAAATACATCAGAAAAAAATAGTCGCACTCAAGGTACATTTTGACTGTAAACCAGTGTAAAATCCCACTGCTATAACTTGTCATCGTTGTACAATAATTTATTCAACCAGGCGTAAGTATAAATAATTTCTTTGGTAGACCTATTTCATACCTTTCTTTTTCTCTTTTAGGGTTTTTGTTTTGGTTTTGTTTTGTTTTTGGGTTTTCCTTCCCGAATTTTCATAACCCTATTAGTGTAAATTTTACACAACTTGGACACGACGGATTATCTCCCAGATATCCACCTTTATTGTGACCCTTGTTCCGGGGCATACACTACCGCGAAGGTACCCGGACAAGCCTAGTTTTCTCCTGGATTTGACTACTGTGAGTTGGCCGAGGTAGGACTGAGATCGACGTCTGCCATCTCACCCATCACCCGATTAAGACACTTTCCCCGGATTTGACGACTTACCCGATTGTGACAACGTTTGGCAGCAGGCTAAGTTTACCTATATTTTATTCTTTACTTTATTGTGTGGTATTTATACCGGAGTATATGATATTTTGTTATATTAATATTTTTGTAAGGTTTGTTGTTCTGTGCCAAGGCTGACCAGCTTTTGCTCGTATAACCAGCTGCTGGTTGGTTTTGATCCAGACCAACGGCCAATTTATTTTTGATTTTCTTTATTTTTATTGGTCAGTATTGTTCGTTGTGTTGCGAACTGATTTGGTTAAGCTTGACCGTATAACCAGGTTTACCCAGATCAGGTTGCAACCACAGACCACCAAAACAAATGGACGGCGCATTGCCATTCAATAACAATGATATGTTTGCGGTCAACAAACGGTCACAGTCTAAGCGTCAAATTGGAGATAGAATTTTATGTTTTCTTCCAGTGACGTCAACAAACCGTCACATTCTAAGCGTTAAATTCTTAGGTTATAATTCTAAGGTTAAATTGGATAGAATTTTATGTTTTCTTCCAGTGACGTCAACAAACCGTCACATTCTAAGGGTTAAATTCTTAGGTTAGAATTCTAAGGTTAAATTGGATAGAATTTTATGTTTTCTTCCAGTGACGTATTGGGATTAAAAAAAATAATAAGTAGGTAGGTACTTACAAACGATATTTCCATGTATTGTTATTTTTAGTAAAAAATAATGTATTTAAACTCCATAATTAACTTAAACACGATAGAAATACACAAACGAAAACACAAAACAATAAGCTGTCAACCTTTTTCTATGCTGTCAAATATGACGAATTTACCAACGTTGTTAATACCTATTTAATTTTAATAATTATTAAATTAATTAATTTCTTTAAATATAGAAAAATAGAGAGACAATGATGAATAAATCCTTTTTATAATTTTTTTAATATTCAAACGAGTTACTGGTAATTATTAATGTTCATTATGTTATGATGAACGTCCAAAAAGGCGTGTAATATATACTTCTGACAACGTTGGAAGCCGTGTTTCTTTCGACGGTGTTTAGAATGTGAAACTATGCTTTACTCGCTTTTTAAACGTAAACAAATCCGTCCATTTGTTTTGGTGGTCTGTGGTTGCAACCCTCGGGTTGCTAACCTTGTTACACTTACAAGCTTAACTGGTAGTGTCACCTCATTTTTGTTTTGCCCTGGTTGCCCTAAGCACCAGTTTTACTTAATTTTTGTTTTGCCCTGGTAGCCTTCAGCTACAGAGTGGTATTTTACTCGCAGAATATATAGATTGTTTTTGTAGTTCGTAACTACCAAAAGGGTTGTAAACCCAAGTGATCACTTCGGTATTATTTTTGGTATTTATCCTAAACACAAGTATAATCACTTATTGCGATATTTTAAATTATATATCAGTAATAAACCTTTAGTTATATCTATTTCGTGATTTTCTCGTTCTACGTTTTAAGGGCCACTTAAATCACGTGGCGCCTATGAACATCCCTTTATAACCCACCCCCCTGAGCAACTATAGTCAGGCAGAGCCCTTAAAACTAGATATTACTTTAGATAGCGCCCACTGAAAAGTGAACCGTGACAAGGCATATGGGATATCTTACCTGTACTTAGCTTCTTTTAATCCTAATGGTTAAATTTATTAAAAATGATCTTTTTGTATAACAAAAAAGTATTTTCAATATGTTTTTCAACAAAAATATTTTTGGTCACCTAATCACTCTGTTTACGACATAGTGGAACTAAAAAAATATGAACAAGAGTTTGAAGTCGATTATACGGTGACTAACGCTGATAACAATAATAGATCCATTTCCATAATAGAAAACAATATTATTATACATAAAGATTCAATGGACAACACCAATAAAGCATTTGAACTAAAAAAAAATATGAAGAAATACTCAAGAAATATGAGCAAGGGCTTGACTAACGCTGACAACAATAATGGTCTCATCGCCTCAAATGATTACAAGATTGTGTATGTGTTTGAAGATTTAATGGACAATACAGCATGTGAAGTCAGTGATAACAATCATGCAGTAAATGAACTCCTCAATGAAAATGAATGCAATGGCACATTTACTGCAGATTGTTTGTCAACTACAAATTTTAGATTAGAAACAACAGGTCAGGCAGAAGAGGCTAGATCGTCGTTTCAACAAGAACCTCAATTAGTATTACAAATTTTAAGTGAATTACAACAAAATATTATCTATGAAAAGATTAATAAATTCAACATTTTTCGCACAGATATTTTTAACTGTTGTGTAAAAGCAATGTGAAGATCAACATTTAAGCCATTTTATAAAATATCTGTAAAATTCAGTGACTGTGAAGGTATTTCGGAAGGAGCCATTGACGAGGGAGGTCCCACTAAGGAGATGTTTAGAATGGTTTTACTTTTCTTGGAGGACAGTCACTTGTTTGTTGAAAATAAAAAAAGAACATAACCCTTAATAACACTTTTTTTCAGAAACATTGTATTACTCAATCGTTAATGGTATTGAAAAAACAAAACCTACTATGGATGATGCCGATATATGTAAAAAGTTAGTTCGACTAAAGGAGTTAACAAGTCTCGATGATTTACAAGAATTTGTCTTATCCGAAAATGTTTTTCCAATTGCTGGGTGCAATTATATTAAAAATGTGGATGACAAGTGGAAAATACTAGATGGTAAAGAGCCTTTTTGTTTAAATATTAGTTTAATTTTTAAAATTGCAGATACTTTAAAATTTTATACTCTGAAACGTGTTGAGCCAGCTCTTCAACAGTTGATAGATGGATCGAAAACCTGCAACATGTATGATATAGTAAATATGTTATCTGGTTGCTAATTGATGTACTTTTGCGCACTATTGCGTAAAAGTGACACTTTTAAACACTAGTGCAGGGGTTCCCAAACTTATACACTTTGCGAAGCACTTACAGGTTTGATTTATTGCCGCGGCGCCCCAAACAATTTTATATGGAAAAACAAAGAAATACAAATAAAGCATTAAATATTTTGTTTTTTTGTTGATCTTCACATTGCTTTTACACAACCGTTAAAAATATCTGTGCGAAAAATGTTGAATTTATTAATCTTTTCATAGATAATATTTTGTTGTAATTCACTTAAAATTTGTAATACTGATTGAGGTTCTTGTTGAAACGACGATCTAGCCTCTTCTGCCTGACCTGTTGTTTCTAATCTATAATTTGTAGTTGACAAACAATCTGCAGTAAATGTGCCATTGCATTCATTTTCATTGAGGAGTTCATTTACTGCATGATTGTTATCACTGACTTCACATGCTGTATTGTCCATTAAATCTTCAAACACATACACAATCTTGTTATCATTATTGTTGTCAGCGTTAGTCAAGCCCTTGCTCATATTTCTTGAGTATTTCTTCATATTTTTTTTAGTTCAAATGCTTTATTGGTGTTGTCCATTGAATCTTTATGTATAATAATATTGTTTTCAATTGTGGAAATGGATCTATTATTGTTGTCAGCGTTAGTCACCGTATAATCGACTTCAAACTCTTGTTTATATTTTTTAGTTCCGGCAATTCACAATCGTCCTGAAAATTAATGAGGTTATTACTGTGGCCCTTAATGGGAGAAAAAACATTGCTTGTGCTGCCCTTCAAAACGGTTCCAAATGATGAAAAATTTTACCATAAATAGTTTTGAAAAAAATAATATTCTCATTCTCATGAGAAAAAAATGCCTATGCGGCACCTCAAAAAGGTTAAAAATGACGGAAATATTTAAAAAATGGGAGAAAAAATTCAAAATTTCGAAAAATTTTGAAACTCGAAAATTTAAACAAAATTAAAATTTTTAAAATTTACCATAAATTTTTCCAAATTATAATTTTTTTTTTAATTATTTTTATTTTATTTTCGTCATTTCCCCGTTCTGAGATGGGGCACAAGCCTTTTTTACCCATTTTTTAAATAGAAAGACATGTTGGGTTATGGTATTTTTTTTCATCATTTGGAACCGTTCTGAGGGGCAATACAATTAATTTTTTTTAATCCCATAAAGAGCCACCCTTATGTATAACATTCAGTGCTTCATCTACTTACATAAGAAGTTTTTTTTGTTTTTTTAATATTGTCAGCAGTTTGACTAGTTTCTCTTTACTGGCTAAATAAAACCGTAACTTTTTTAGGCCAGTTGCTTCCATTATTTCAGTTGAAGCTTGGCTTTGGCTTTTGTAGTCAAATAAATAAAAGTCAAACTCTTCCAATTTTCCTTCCGTAGATTTTCCATTGGGAAGGATATCCAGAGCTCTTTTAAGAATGTACTTTCCATCAGCATCTTTTGGGATTTTAATTTTTCTTGTACCACCTCCTCCACGTTCTCGCACTTGAATAAATCTGTTGTCACTTTTCCGGAAGCACAACCAGCACAATTATACTTGTTTCTCAGTCTGAATGTTGTTGCTGGTCTTATACTTTTTTGATTTATTATTCTCCATCCAAGTTACTTTTATTTTACAACTTTTGCCTAAGATTATCTAAAAGTGACTGCTTCCTTGTAGTTTTTTAATCCCATAAAGAGCCACCCTTATGTATAACATTCAGTGCTTCATCTACTTACATAAGAAGTTTTTTTTGTTTTTTTAATATTGTCAGCAGTTTGACTAGTTTCTCTTTACTGGCTAAATAAAACCGTAACTTTTTTAGGCCAGTTGCTTTCATTATTTCAGTTGAAGCTTGGTCTATTCTTTGGCTTTTGTAGTCAAATAAATAAAAGTCAAACTCTTCCAATTTTCCTTCCGTAGATTTTCCATTGGGAAGGATATCCAGAGCTCTTTTAAGAATGTACTTTCCATCAGCATCTTTTGGGATTTTAATTTTTCTTGTACCACCTCCTCCACGTTCTCGCACTTTAATAAATCTGTTGTCACTTTTCCGGAAGCACAACCAGCACAATTATACTTGTTTCTCAGTCTGAATGTTGTTGCTGGTCTTATACTTTTTTGATTTGTTATTCTCCATCCAAGTTACTTTTATTTTACAACTTTTGCCTAAGATTATCTAAAAGTGACTGCTTTCTTGTAGTTTTTTCTTTATTCGATTTTAATCTGCAAAATTTTGGGGCAATTCGATCCCCATATTTTGGAATGAAGTGCTCTAACTCTGTATCGCTCATCAACAAAATAATTTCTGGTTCGATTTAAAAAAACATAAATAAAGTAACACGCAGTATTTAAATAAGGTATGACAAAAATTTTGACTGAAAATAGTGTCTTACGTTAAGTAAATTTGCAATACCTTTACAGGGCTTTCAATTAAAAACCTGCCAGGCTTAATAACTTTTGAGTTATAGTAAATATGATCTTGAACAAAAAAAGGCCGATTTAGATATCAAGGGGAAAGTACAAATCCTTACTAAAAAATTGTAAATGGCACACTATACCTTACAACACATCATTTTTAAGGAAATTTAATTTCTGATCTATTGAAGTTAAAAAAAATTCGATCACCTGGTGCAACATAAAATTTGTTTAAACTGGATTTGTACTTCCCCCTCGATATCTAAATCTAAATAGACCTGTTTTGCTTAAGATCATATTTACTGTAACTCAAAAGTTATTAAGGGTGGCTAGTTTTTAATTGAAAGCCCTGCTAGCATAGAACAAACCCTGCTATTTTTTAATTAAAAGCATGCATGCAAAGCAACAATAATTGTTGAATTAAATAAATTGATTGTGTGTTGTTGGTTGAATAACTCATGAATAGGTGAAGCTATTTTATATAAATCTGTTTGAACCTCATTTGTTAGGCCACTACCTTGCCAGCTCTGCTCTGCATAAACAATCATAAATTTACGCATCCATTTTTTATTTATATTTTGGAAACTAATAAACATATTTTATTGATATTTTTTAAAACAAGAACTAAATATTGATATTTTTTATTAAATATAGAGCAATTGTTTTAAATTGTCAAATTTTTAAAGTTATAAGCGATTTTTATGGAATTATTTTTTTGTCAATTTTATTAGTAAATTTAAAAAGTTATTAACTATTAATATTAATATTTTTCTAATGCCGATATACTTTGAGTGGCTTGTGTTATAAATAGTAAGAACAATTATAATATAATAAAATATAAATTTAATCTTTTTATACCTATATAACAGCAAATAAACAAATCGTTATTATTAATTTCTTGGTATAATATAAATATTAAAATGTTAAATATTTATCTAACAAACGTTACCGCGAGACGAGACGAGACGAGATAAGGCCTTGTCTCGTCTCGTCTCGAAATTTAGAGATCAAATTTTTCGAGACGAGACTAGACAAGGTCGAGACGAGACAAGGCCTTATCTCGTCTCGTCTCGTTTGTCTCGAATTGTTTTGGTTTTTTGGTTTATCTCGATTTAATTTTGAATTATCGGATAAATCCAAACAAAAAATATACAAGCTCTTAAAAGTGGGAAAAAACTAAAATGATAACGCAGTTATTCGCCTCACTCAATAGATCCTCGTCACAAATTGGAAACCTTTTCAATGACTTTCTGGGGTGCAGAAATGAAAAATAAATCATACCAAAAATTTGAAGACCAAAAATTTGAAGACATGGATATTGAATTTTTATTCAAAAAGGCTACTCCTCAATCCGAAACTGAAGAGTTTTCAGTTTAGAGTTTATTGATTTATTTTGATTATTATAAAATACATTTATTTGGTTTCATTTTTACTGTTTATTCTCTATAAGGTATGTATGTATGTCCTCGAAAACACCATGCAGTTTTTGAATAAAGGTTTTATATTTTATTATAAGTTTTATTTTAACAATTTATATGCACGTATTACCAGCTCATACCCTATAATGCTGTTAAAAACAATTACTAAAACTTCTGCTGTTATTATCATTCGTTTAAAGCGTATTAAGTCATTAAAATATTTCGAGATGTCTCGTCTCGTCTCGTCTCGCCTTGTCTCGAAGGATTTTATCTCGTCTCGTCTCGTCTCGAAATTCGAGACAAAATGCTCTCGAGACGAGACAAAATGGCTTCGAGACGAGACGAGACGAGACGTCTCGTTTCTCGTGTCTCGCGGCACCTCTAAACAAACTTAAATGTAAAATAAAAGTAATTTAACATATTTTAATAAAAAACTATATTTGTGGTAAAAACAACAAAATGGAATTGTTAAACGTATCCACGAAGATATTTTGAAAGTTTAGCTCGATCGTATAACAGAGCTATAAATAACTTAATATTTTAACCGATTTTTTTAATTTAAAAATCATTTCTAAATTTTAGTTTCAA